GTAATATCAAGTTTATGATTTGTTTTGAGCTAAAAAACTGATCTATTTTCACCAAAAATATTTCTCAGACCATTTTGTAATATTAGATTATTTTTAAATTGTAATTTCTAATAAGATTTTTTACCTATATTAACAGTTAGATGTATTGATACTAAGAGCAATATATATTTCTTAAGACACATTTCTAATCATTAATTATTAACAGTAGTAGCAATATTATAATTATAGAAACAATTTACAATTTGGATCAATGCTAATGAATCTCATTATAAAATTTAAAAAAAATAAACAATTCCAAATTTCATCTTTTTCAATTATAGGATGTTTCACAGAATAAAAATAATATAAAATTCCACAAAAGAAAAATGCAAAATTAAATAAAAATATATCACAATGAAAAAATTATATCACTACTATATATATATATAATATATAGGCTATAATCATCTAAACAATAAATTTAAATTTACAATATTATTGCAATATGGTAATTTACCACTAGCTTGTATTTAATTGCTGTTTCAAAATATTATTATTTAATGTACTTATTATTGATTAAGTTATAAAAAAATTTATTATATTAACTCAAATTTTCTTTCTTCAAAAATCAAATTAAATTATTATTATTATTATATAAAACTAAATGTAAGCATATCAAGCTTTTATAAAATACTTGACATATAATTTAAACACTAAGATTTATCATTTGAAAATCATTTGTTTATTAGTACATGAACATATCTTGTAACTCGAATACTTATATGCAAAGATCAGATAAAACTGATAAGAAAATTTATCATACAGTATATAAAAGTTTGAAAATATAAGGATTAACTCAAAGAAAAGTATTAAAATACTTGTAACTAATAATCAAATTTAAATTAATTTGAAATATGACCAAACACTCCACTAACACAAAAATGTTTTAAATGGAAAAATCAAAGACAAAATTTTTTAATTTTTTTCCTCACTCCATTAAAGCCATTTTATATTATATTTGAATAGTATTGACAAAATAAAACAAATTCATTTTTCTATTGTTTCTTTACTTCTAACGTGTAATAATGATAAAAACAATTACAATGGTTTTAGAATTATTTTCTGTTTTGTGAATGATTTTAAATGTTTATTACTACAATATAACATGGAAATAGAAACTCTATATAAAACTTAAATTTATTTAAATTAATTACTAACAATTCTAAAGAGTATAAATATGTTCACTCAGAGGAGATTGCATTAAAATATGACAATTTTCTTTTAATATAATTATTATTAAAAACTTTTTTCTTAAATGTATTGATATTATATTTATTCATTTTCAGTAGATTATTCCTTATATATTTATATATAATCTTTAAAAGTGAAGATGAAATATGTTTTTTAAAACATATATATTAATATCTATTTTGTAATACTGAAATAATTATGCATAATTAAAAGTTATGTATAACTATATAATTTTTAAATGAAAAAATGTATTACAAATTATTTATTTATATTTCATATTGTTAAAACCAAACATTTTTGGAAACAAAACTTTAAAGACAATATAAATTTATAAAAAATAAATGTTATGAAGATAATTTTAAATTATGTTCATAACATTTAATAAATATTTAGAATAATTTTGAACCTATTATTATTATTATTATTATAATATAATTTTTTTAACTAAATAAATTTTAAGTGACAATAAACTCTGTTGTTGAGTCATAAAACCAAATATTTATTATTAATATCAGATTTACATAAACATTATGGAAGAATGTTAGCTATCAAACTATTAATAAAATAAAATTTTATCATGAATAAATTTTTCCTTTAAATGTTTGTATAAATGCATGATCTTATTAAAAATAATATAGAAATATTATTGTATATATAGTTAATCGTTTAGATTCTACTTTTGATATATTTAACTTTACTGTTTGGTTTTATTCAAACCTGCAATTTCTTAATCATGAACATACAATAATTCTTTATATAAATATATCTTATTTGTTAATTAAATTACCATCAAAAATCAGTTTTTTTAAATAATAAATGATTATAATCATCTACTTGTGCACTTGTTTTCTCTTCCATGTTCTACTTGATGCAGCTAAACATGCATGAATGAACTATTTTGATGTAGCATGCTGCAACTAACTGATTGTTAATGATGTTTGTTTAAAATGTGGAACATCAGATTTGGTTGGATAGTTACAAAACAATTCGCAAGAAAAATTTAACCACTATTGCAAATACTTAATTCAGAAAATGAAGAATTAACCAGAGAATGTAAGATTCACTCAAAAATTAATGTTTTTAATTTTCTTCTTTAAACAATAAATCAATTTGAATTTTAACATTTTAACTAATCAAACATTAATAAAATAAAAAATAGAATTGAATATAAGGAAAGAAATATAAATTTATAAATAAAAAATTTCAGAATTAAATCCATTATGAAACATTTTGGGTCAATTATTAATAATAAAAGATATACAGAAAATTCTGTTGTCAAAACATTTTAAAGTCAAATATTATTTGCATTATGTATTTGGTCAATTTCATGGAAATAAAGTTCAATATCTAGTGGAGATGATGCAAATACTTATTGTACAAGTAGATAAATTACCAATATACTGTATCTAATTTCTCAAAATATTGTCATTTGATATTTTCATGATACTAAATGATTTCAAAAGTTGAAATAAAAAAAAAAATCAGTTAAATTTAATTAGAAGTCTATGTTAAAAATTTGTAAAATAGATTATTATGCAGTTATCTATGTGTATAAAATTAATAAATTCTACATTAAATTATTATTTATTAATTTGGGATTTCCACTTTAAAATTATAAATATTTCCTATCTACACAATATTATCTATATTAATTTACTCTCTTCTAAATCACTGTTTCAGAAAGAAAAGAATTTATATATCCGAATTCAGAATGAAAAACATAAATTGAATGAATAATAACTGAGAATGATAAGAAATAATTATTTAATGAATTAAGATTCGAGCTATCTTTCATTTCATGGCCGCCTCAAATTATTAAAGTTAAAATAACGACGAGATAAGTCTTCAAACAACTTATTCAAACCAAGTCACTATCATCAAAATTTGAAAAATAATTTAGAAATTATAATCAATTTAAAAATTAAGTATTAAAAATAATACTGGGTAACTATTATTTTATTCAGGAGCAGCTTTTAAACACAACTAAAATCGTTCACATTCAAATACATTAAAGAATTTTCTAAATTTTTCCAATTTCAAGTTGTCGAACAGCTGATCTTAAAACAATATTCAGCATACATTTACAAAATTTCTGAATTATAAATACTTTATCAACAAACTATATATAATATGTAAATTTAACAACGAAAACATTATTAACACTTATTTTAACTTGAAGATAATAGAAGCAAGAATCATTACTTTTTGGAATAAAATAATCTAATTTTCTTTTTAATTACATACTACAAAGTTATATATTTAAACCTATTTACAAAGCAATTTAACAAAAAAAATGCATACTTTCTCCTTTACTACTAGTAAAATTCAAAATGTAAATTTCAAATTGAATAAAATTTGATAATAAATTAATATAATTTTTCAACAAGTTATTTTTTCACTTAAACATACAAATTATTCTACATTGCATTCTAATAGGTTCTAAAAATTATATTTCGTTTATATTTTAATTCTGAACTTTGCTGGCAAAGCCAAACTAATAAAAGTACTTGTTTTTGTGTTTAAATTGTTCTTTTCTCATACTTTATAACAGATCATTTTTAAATTCGTAATGACATTAAACATTAAAATTTAAAGTACATTCAGTTAAGAACAGAATACGAATTTGTTTTCAAAACTGAAAATTGAACTAAAAGAACAATTAAATTATTTAATGAACGTAAAAAAAAGGAATGCATTTTTAAGATGTTTTTTTAATTAGTAACGCATTTCTTTTTGCATTTATAATTTCGAATTTAAACGTATTTATTGCCAGTATTTATAAAAAAAATATATTTGAAAACTGTCAATAAAAGAATTTAAATTCAAAATTGTAAATATTAATTATTTTTCATAAAATTTGATTAAACTATAGTATAGATAAAAATTTGAGTGACAGTTAAAAACCAAATGTTAAGTAATATTCAGGTAGCATGTTGATAATTTCGGAATATCTGTTAAAATTTCAATCGTCAAAATACCGATCAACGAATACAGAATAAGAAATCTATCATTAGTTGTTTTATTAAAAAAAATAATAATTATTATTATTATAACAACAACAACATTATATAATTTTGAAAAATCTTAATTTAGAGAATATTAAAAAATACAAATCAGAGAATTTCAAATTATACATCGCAATTTAATATTCTCGGGACGAGACGAGCCGAGTCGTCGGCAATATTTATACCGACGTTACTTCGTCGTCCGACTAATCCGGAATATTAAATTTCCTCTCTCGACGGTTAAATTTTATAAAAATCATAATATTTTATAACATTTATTTAATAAGAAATATTTCAAACCCAAATACTAATGTGTTATAGTACTTGTTGTATAAAAAGCAATTGAAAATCAAAGTGAAATTGTTCATTACAACTGTTTTTTTTGAATAAAAGTATCGGTAATTAAATGCCGACAGAATGTATAGATTGTGTTTAGATTAGATACTGACAAATAATAATTACTATTGTTTTTAACACAGAAGCATTAAAACGAACACATGAGAGATATACATTTGATGTCGAATACACGAAACATAATAGAAATATCAAATTGTTTGACCTTTCTAATTAATTAACATATAAATAATTGAAGAAAGCAACTCTTTGTTCTCCCGACTTCCCACTCATCAATTTAAACGATTTCCTTGACAGGTCGGTTCCTATCCAACTCGGATTCATATAAGAACACGTAACACATATACATTGTCAATAATGTAAGTATCTCGAGTAAGATGTTAGGAATTTTACATCTTAAAATGTATTTACCTTCCGATAATTCTAGCTCCAATTCCGCTAGTTTCTCTCGGATTTCAATTGGCAAGCTTGTTACATCGATACACTGATCGGCCATTGTCATAATAAAGTTATCGTCCCCTAATCGCATCAATTAGTTATTTATGAGCCTCACCGTAAGGCTTTTTCTAGATGAAAGAGGAACTGTCTTCTCCATCAAACCATTTTGGTCGCCATCTCGATTGTTTTTGCCTGCAGGGGTCAGCACTCGAGAACCACGCCTAAAATCGCCGCCATGATCATTTTCATTTTTCAAACGCATTTTTTTTCAATATATTTCCGGCTTACATTACGGATATAATACAAATTGTATTAAAATAAAATAGTATATTATTCGGGATGATTATTAATCTAAATAATAAATTAAATTGATCTCTATTAATATATATATTTATTTATATTTTGTATTTTATTTAAAATATATTACAAAATTACTTTATTTAGGTTGGTATAGGCAATGCTCTCTCATCCCATATGTTTACGATATTGATTTCGCAGCGTGGATAAGAGATTTCGATACGTCCCTAATTGATCAGCTAACGAAAAGCTCAGTTCTTCATGCAGTCTATGGCACGGTAAATATCAACTAGGTCAATTATTTTTCAGATATCTCAGAAAATTAATTTTATACATTATAATTCAAATTAAGGCGTCAGCCTAATGCTCTAAGGCTGTGTTATTCTGCTTCATATCTTGCTGGAATCTCGTTGATTTATGTATGCAGAAAGGGTTTCCAAAGAACTATTGTTTCCGGGCGTCCAAAAGTTTGAAGCCATTGGTGAAGCTACCGTAGATGCGACTATGCAATTGCAAAGGGGTCTAAGTCGTTTGGGAGCCCATTTTGTCAAAATGGGGCAAAAGACTAGAAAATAAAGTATACAATCGTACATTAAAAAATATTGAAAATGAGTAATATCAGTATTCAGAAGGGCCCCGAAGAAGATAAGTTTACAGGAAGGTCTTTATTGTGGAGTTAGCACATGGACCCAAAATTTAAAGGTTTAGCTGCTGAGCAGTGCCTAAGGAACAATAGTTTAAAATAAATTCTTCCTGCTCTGTGAGCCCTAAAATGGTCTTTTTAATTATGAGATTTTGCTATATTTATGTGAATTTAATTTAGTATAAAAACTATAATTAATGTTTTAACTGTTATATTTTATAAATAAATTAAATTTATATATATAGTTTATAAACTATGTTACAATAAAATGTTATTAACACAACTTTTAAATAAACTTTAGATGTATTTACCGTAAAGTTTAATACATTTACTATTATTATTATTTAAAAAAAGCCAGAAAATTCATTTCAATTCGTCCTGATGAATAAACGTTTGAAAGTGAATTTATTTTTCACGTATGAAGAACAGAGTTATTTCTGGTATGGAAAACACACAATAGAAGATGGTTACAGTTTCAAGTAAGTATTTTATTTAATTTAAAATATATGCTCTCCACCTCAAATTAGTGTCTTGCCCCTGTAAATCATACTTTACCTGCTAGCAATAGAGTCGTGCAGGTAATCTATCTAACTCGTTTCAGGGGAAGATTTTTAATTGAAATAAGGTAACTCCTGGTTTGCACCAGAAGTTCGTATATAGTTAATCGGGTCCTCCTGTCCCTAAGCTTTCTAAATCTCGTCTCTACTTTCAGACAGATGGACAGTAGGAATTTAGAGGTGATTTGAAAAAATTGTAAATTTTAAAGACATCATATTTGGCCTTTCTTTACATTTTGACACAACCAGGAGCTTAAAAAAATAAAAGAAAATAAGAAAAATATACCCTTACAAAATTCTATCTGTAAAAGTAATACTGTATAAACATTATTTTGAAATAAAATCTTATAACAGTTGACGCTACACATATTTACAACTTTGTAAATTGAGTGCCATAAGAGCGCTTGCCAGCTTTTACTTTTCCGGGTTGATATAACATAAGAAAAAGTATTAGAATAATGTCAAATTTGATCCTCCGGGTGTTTTGTAAATATATACCTTTTGAGACCTTCCGAACCAAACAAGGAGAAAAAATTCCGTGTGTGTGTTAGTGTCTATTTCGTTTAATATCTCAGGATGGGGTAAAGATTAAGTATAACGAAATTCGGCATGATAACTTGTATATAAGGGGTATTGATGCTATTAAATTTTGGTGTTTAAAGGTAGAGAGAGAGAAGAGATAGAAGTGGGTCATGTACCATAACGCGAGAGGAGTCGTACTTAATGAAGATTTCACTGTTGTTATTAACATTTACAATTTTTTTTTATAAAACACATCATTACTCTCAAAATTAAGCTTTTTGATATTTTATAATAATTAATAATATAAAAAGATTTTTACAACAAAATCTCACAAGAGATGGCACCTCACACTAATTTCGTTTATTGTGATTAATAATACAAAAGCTATTTTTTAAATAAAATTTTATAAAAGCCAGGAAAGTTCCACATTTGTTGCTAGATTTTTTATTTTACTTTTGGGTCCAGGGTATCTGAAAACGTCGATAATTGCAAAACACCTACAGGGTCAAATTTGATACGATTCCAATATTCTCCAGTATTATATAAATATCAGCCGGGAAGATAAAAGTAAATACATTGCATGGATGTTTGTGTGTTGGCCTTTATTTCGTTTAATATCTCAGGATTTTGTGAAGTGTCACAAATGCTTATTTCTTATTCAGGACGGGTTGCTCTCTGCCTTCCGTTAGTGTTTATACAAATAAGATTAACAAGGAAAAAAATATTTAAATAAGTTTAAAATAAAGTGCTTATTTGTAAATACATATAACTCAATAAAACATTGCAATATTTGAAATATATTTTTATCATTTATGATTTTCGAAATTCTGATTTCAGGTACGTTTACCCAAAATTCACATTATGCTCGGCAGAATTAGTATACGAGAAGGTTCTTGTTCCTTGTAATACCGAATTAATCGTGGCTACAGAGTATGGAAAAAATTGGATGATTCCTGAACCTAAAGGGCATTCCCCTTTAAACATAAAGGATAAGAAATTTTGGACTGTCGAACAACGAATTAATGCATTTCTTCCGAAACTTGAACATTAGATTAATGATTTTTTTTTTAACAATTTTAATTTATACAAATACCGATATATCGATAGATATTTTATAAATGTATTCAAATTATTTATTTATTTTTAGGAAATCCTGTAGAATTTAAATAGAGATAACTAACAATATAAGAACATGTAAAATGGACGAGATCTTTGTAATGCTATTAATGTAAAATAAATAGTCTATATTAAGAAAACTTTACTTAATATTGCATGCAATTNTATATATATATTCAATACATCCAATATGTAATATCATTTTAAACGATGCTCAGATGCTCGGTGCTCTAACTTTAAGACATTTCAAATAGAAATAAATACGTGTATGTTTACATTTTATTTATTAATGTAAATTCAAGCGATCCCTAAATTAGTAAGAACTTAGAGCCTCTAGTCTGTTGTTCGGTATTATTCGTATACAACGCGACACATGAGGGATGTGACTTCACTAGAGTCGAATGAACGGGAAATGATGTCTCGATCTGTAATATCTATGATAAATTATGGTAGAGTTTTTTTCTGCAACGGAAAACTGGAATTAACTCTCAGGATGAACAGTGACAGAGGAATCTGAGACATCCGAGCCAATCATCTATGAAAGTTTAAATTCGAGGTGTTCGGAGCAACAGATTGGCATCTTTACCTCTTCGTTAATCCGGTCGTCAAGTATCAACAGTCAATTTTCGCATTATCATTACAAATTTGTATTGGCTAATGAGTGAGTAAATGAATACAATGAATCGAATCGGTAGAGGTGTTTTGGTGAGTTGACTCTCACATTATTTAACTGTTTAGAAATATTTAATCAATTTTACTGTGTTTCCCTTTGCAAAAGAATTTGAAACATCGATTCATTGTGTCGACTCACTCAGTTATTGACTAATACTAAAAGGAAAAAAAAACAAAACAAAACATTTTGAAGATTTGATATTAGTTGAGAAGTTGAAATGAGTGAAAACCTTTACCATAAAATTAAGCAAAGTCGATCAAGAGAAAATGTACAGTACTTTTTACATTTTTGTACAAGGTATATTCTGATTAGTTGTTATTTTTAATTAGTCTAACAACTTAGAGAACACTTCAACAGTCTTATGAATTTAAAATATAAATAACATTTAGCCATTCTTATTTTCTGTATATTTTAATTTCATATTTAATTTTGCTCATTTACTTATCCGAAATTTGGGATTTTCTCCATTTAATTTAAATTATGAATTTAAAAACAATACATATCACTATCAGTCCGTTGGCGAGCACCTATAACCAATTACCAGTGTTCGGTGGTTTTATCTATTCGGCCACTGGTGAGGCCCAACATCTTAACCACACAACTTGTAATACTTGAAAACCTCCGTGACAATAGTATGTGTGGATCCAATACTGATAGAACTTCTAAAGAACTGCTCTGGTTTTTATGAATCAGTTTGGCATCAGTTTTATCCATCTTCTTATCATTGATAGCTGTGCTGGGATGACCGAAACGCTGCTCAACACGGATTGATGTTTCCATTCTTTAACGTATTTACCCACTCGTACCGTCTTTTCTCGTCAATGCAGATATCTCCATACTGTTGAAACATTCTTCTATGAATTTCAAAAGGTTTCATATCTTCCGACCACAAAAATCTGATGATTGCTCGCTGCTCCTCTACAATGCAAACAGGTAAAGACCTGTTTGCATTGTAGAGGAGCAGCGAGAAGTATATACTTAATTGCAGCATTGTAGGATGCTGCAATTAAGTATATACTTCCCTCTCAATTAAGCACGTCACACTGTCTAGTAAGCAGTGTTAACGCCTTCTCTAAGAATGCATTTTTCTTCCTTTCATACAGTGAAATTCACAGACATCCACAGATTCACGCGTGCACGATTTAGCAGCTCGTAAAACTTCAAACGCCCATAACTTTCTAATCAATGTATCTAGTAGCATTAGCGAAACAAGTACTGTATCTGTTTAAGGCCATACGTTTTCAAGTGTAGCGTGTTCTTCGTAAACCAATTCTGTAAATAATAAAGAAATTATAATTCAAATTAAAAAAATATATATATAACTTTTAAAGATTACATTATTGTATTTAAAATGAATAATATTTCTCTGAGATAATTTTTAAAAATATGGGACGAAAAAACTTTAGAGCTTGTATAATACATAGGACATTGTTACACTGTATACGACAAACAATGAATTTTAAAAGCTTCGTTCAAAGTTCAAGAGAAAGATAACCGATAAAAAAAAAGATTGTTAGAAATAATGTGGCGTCGAATAACTAGATTTAATTTATGTTCTTTAATTGTAATCTTTATTTTAGCCTGGTATTCTTACACGTTTATTCTTTTATTTTATCAAGATAATAAAGAAAGATTACAGGTTAGTGTACCGGTAGAAATTTTGTAATCGTATAGAGTTGTTTCGTAGTAAATATTACTAATTTAATAATAATTTTTAGATTGAAATATAAAATACAATCTTATATAACTTCTATAGATTAGAATATGAATTATACGATATATTTTGAAACAAGATGAAGTGTTGCAAGTAATTTTTTAAAATAAAATTTGCACCAAGTTTAATTGGTTTACAATACACGGTGGTGTTTGGTTTTATGCACGATAACAATAGACTTAAAATCACTGTAGAAAACAGATAAGGGGCACTAGATTGAAACGTGTATTGGCATTTGAACAATTGATTTAAACACTGTAAAGTACATAAGAAAATAAAGTGTAAAAGTCTAGTATCAACACTTTATGGTGTCTCAAAATATAATTTAACACAGAAAATATATTAGGGAAAGCTCGATAAATGAGCACAACAATGAACTCTGTGAGAGAGATAATTAATTATTCGTCACAAAAATGAAAGTATTCAAATGAATTCCTTTCCCATCTGTCTTATTCTTTAGATATTTTGCTAACAGACTATCACTTTTTTTTTAATACATTTAGACAGTTTTTTGTCAAGGAACGTCTTCATGGAAAGAAATGCAATAAAAAGTACCTTTAATGACATTTTGGCTTCTCATTCTCGTGATTTCTATCAAATTGGCGTTAATGCATTTCTATTGAATTGAGAAAAGTATATTAATGTTGGTGGAGACAATTTTGATTGAATATGTAAGTTTTAAACACAACTGCATCTTTGTAACTGTTAATTAAGATTTTAATAGAATTATTATATTCGTTGTGAAACATGTTGCGTAAATTTAAACTTATAAATAGCATTCAATGCCATTAAATCTAAAGATAATGAACAATAAACGAAATTTTAAAATGTATTTTTTAAATTATATATTTTGGAACGTGATAAATCCGATAACATTAGACGATTGATAACAATAAGCGACTTCTATTGTATTAATATTTTCATTTTAGATAACTGTATATAATTGTCTTACTCAATTCTTATCGATAAATCATTACAATTTTCACTATTTTTCACTTAACTTTTGCAACTGAATTGTATTAAAGTTATTTTATTACAATAGAGAGGTTGCGGCCGACGTTTTCATCGCGTAAACGTGAACGTCGGATGTTCAGCGCCGCCTTTCTGTAAGCCTAGACGTTTGGCGTTTGGAACGTCGAGCATGATTCCACTGACGTTCCAAACGTCAAACGTGTAGGCTTACAGGAAAGCGGAGCTGAACATCCGACGTTCACGTTTTCGAGATGGAAACGTCGGCCGCAACCTCTCTAATAATGTATTTTATCTAACTTCTTTGTTTCTTTAATAATTATAGAACAATTTAGCTAATTTCCTTAGATTTTTTTCCAATAGATTAGTATATTATAGTATATCTTTCTTTAATTAAGTATATCACTTATAATTGAATATTCTTCGACGTTACAGTGCTAGCAATTCTTAAGAAAAATACACACGCACACACAAAATATAGTAGTATATCCATGTAATAATGTAGTGGGTAAATATACGTAATAATATAAGTTATATATACTACGTTTAGGACCATTATATATATATTATTACGTATTGAACCTCTCTCTCTCTCTCACTACGACTTCGGGTAAAGGTATAGGTAATTAATCTACGTGCTTCTAGTCCTGTATAACTTGTCTATTCGGACTTTCTTTTCAACTCAGACTTGTTACATCGAAGAAAATGAACCCAGAGAAATTCGTATTAAAAAACCTTTACGTAACATTAACCTGTATGTTACCACACAGTTCAAAATGCTAAAAAGTAGTAGCATACAGGTTAAGAAAACACTAAACTCTTTCGTCACAGTTCAAACAATGCAAACATTTATAAAAATAATTAAAAAATGCATGTAAATAGACTAAAGCCGAACTGGTCTATTTATAATCATTTTATTTATCAAATGATTTAATTAATAAGTTTTACTTAATTTCTATAAAATTAGTTTCGCTAACTAAAATCTAATATCGTTAATTAAATATTAATAGAGTATTTGATTAAAATTTGTAATAAATTAAAAAAAGGATATTAATTTCACGCTTGATTTTTAATAACTTTATTATTAATTAATTAATGAGCCTAAACACATATGTAATAACAATTGACATTTTTATTTTTCACAATTTTTTTTTCCAAATTAAATATCGTATATTGCGTTATTATTATTATACCAATTAAATATTGCATTATTTTATAATTGTTTGTAAAGAAAATACAACTTAATTATGATTATAAAAACAATTGAATTACAATGATTCAGCTATTCTTCATTCTAGTTGTGTTAGGATAAAATTAAATTAAATACCTTTTAATTAAACATTAAAATTTATATTTTTATGTTATTATTAATAGTTAAATCGATAAAAAAATTACTTTAAACTTATTTTATTAGATTGATACAAGAAGAAATTCATTAGAAAACTTCGTTAAGATAGTAAATATATTAGGAGTTAAGATATTTCTCATCGATCCTCATCGTTTATTTTACTCGTTAAATAACGAAGAAAAGCAATTACTTCTAAAGAAAAACTTTAAATTAAAAAAGGAAATCGAGGGAATAATCACTTTTGGAATATTTGAAGAAGATGGAGCAAAACTAGATAAGGTTCTATTCTTTTTAGTATACGATTCGTGTATTATATAAGCATTATAAAGTAGATCTTCTTCATTTCAGGTAACTTTACATCTGATAAAACAGAATTTTCGTTATTCTTTAATCAAAGATGTAGATCCTAACGAAAGAACAATACAAAATCTAGATGTGTTACTTGTTAAGAATGTCATCACTCATCGATTTTATACTCTAAGCGGATACGTTATTCATGTTGTCACGTATTTTCGTAGATCTAATTACTTATGGCATGGGAAGTTATCAACCCTTCCTGCAGATGTTTCGCACATTAATGTAGGGGAACTTCAATTCGTCAGACACGAAGGAGCATTCGAAAGGTATTATTAAGCTTAATAATTAGTAATGTTCGATTTAAATGTTTCTATTTTCTATTTTAACATAAAGAGAAATTAATTTTTATAATTGTTTATTAATTATAAACTTCATTTTAAATATATAATTAAAATTTTTGGAATAAATTAAAAGGTATTGAACGATTGTTACAATTATTATTAAACAATAAATTGACTGAAATTATATATTTAATTTATAAGTTTAGACTATATTAAATTGCTAAACGATTATTAAATGAGATTATAATTAATATAATGCTTATGAATCATTTAATTTCACGGTATCGTATATGGAGTAACGATTGAAAATTTCGAAATTTCGTTTATAATCTGCCGGATTAGAATAATGTAGATTATATGAAGAAGAGAAAATTTCTCCTTGGATGGTATCGATGTAATCGACCGGTCTTCGTTTTCTGCTTTTGAGTAATTCTCCGGGAGTGACGATAAGAGGTTCGATACTCTTAGTTACTCTGAGCCGTGAATATCCGGTCACTCTATCCCATCGTGGAGATGCTGCGATTTCTCCGAATATCCCTTCCTTATCTTGATAAAGAATCGGATAATGTGGAGGAAGAGAACAATAATCACCGTTAGAAGTGGACAGATACTCGTTTTTTTCAGTGTTCGTGTAAGTTCCTCTCTGAGTTTGCCACCGATGGGCTATGTTATCTATTGCCATCCTATTCATTATCATATAGTTTGATTCCTTTTTCCCAATAGTGGCGGGAACGTAATATAAATATTTCATTCGATTAACGGAGAAAAAGTCCTCCGTTTCTTTTCTGTAGGTGTGCCAATCAAAATGAAAACTTTTCTTTGAGTTGGGAGCCATATTATTATTATTATTATTATCCGTAGTTTTGTTTATATAATAAATATCACTCTTCTGAAAGCTTTGGGCTTGGTCTAAATTGATATTTGCCGGATCAGAACACAACTTTCCTTCTGAATAAGAGCGGCGAATTAAATTTTCGCCCAAAGATTGAAGATTTGATAAATGGACGGGACTCGAAAATGGCCTTTCTTCATCTAAACAACAGCAGGAACAACCTCTAAAACGAGTATTCATAATAGTGAAACTGTAGGAAAACTGCTAGCAATAAACTAATATCGAAAATTAAATAAATCTGCGATTATTGCGTGTATTGTAAAACAATTAAAATAATTATTTGAATATTTAATTATTAAACATTAATAAAAATGAATCGGTTAATAAATTTTTACATTTAATTGGTCGAAAGTAAATTCCGTATCATCTTCAGCTTGATTTGACTAATCACCTTAAACAATACAAGATAACACTTAGTTATACTGGGTGATCGTAATTAAATTATCCTTAATTATAAACATATTTAGCAATCTAAATGCAATTTAATCTGGTATAGTGACATTTCAGGACACGAGGAAGACATTTCTATAAAAAAATAAAGGATCAAAAAGCTCTATTATGGTACTTTTGGTACCATAGACAAGCCTAAATATTTTATTTGTACGAGACTCTCATGCTAAACAAACACCTTAGTGATGCAGGTATAAGAGCTAATTTAAGAAATTTTGGGGGCTTCTTGCGAAGTCTTCTACATTTACAAAGGAAAATAAATGGTACTTTGTGTGTTAATTAAACTAATTCGTAGTAAAACAATATACAGGAACCACAGTAAGAACTATGAGAGTTATGTGGAGCGGGTCCATCTCAACTGTCGTTGTTGCTATAGTTTTACACCGGATCCAGATATTTGCTCAATATGGTCCTCATATTGAGCAAATATCTGGCATCATATTGAGCAAATATTGAGCAAATAATAAACGGCGTGTTCATAATTTGACTGTAATTAATGACTCTTCACATACAGTGTGATTCTGCCATTCAAGGCAGCCAAATTTGCAGTATGTTCGCGATAAACCACACTTTTTTATTTAACTTAATAATGGTATCTCTAAAAATAGTCTTGATTCATATGATTCTCTTCAGCCACTAAACACTTTTCCCCTTCCTTTCCTATGTAAGAACTTTCAAGTGTTTCGATTCTTTCATTTGTGTAAGTTTTGCACTGTTTTAATTATTATTAAAAATTTCGTTATATTTTATACGAATAAGTAATTTTAGTAGTTATTACTTTATATTCACTCATAATAAATTTCTATTAGCTTTCAGATTGAGCCGTTTGAGGATAATGGAATCCATTATTTCGCTCCTAAAAATAAGATTTATTTTCTGTTTGAACTTATGACCTCTCGTTTTCTGGATTGTAACTTCGAATCTACCAAAAATTTTATGATTAGATACCGCAATATTAGCGTTCCCGATATCCAATTTGGACTCGAGTTTATCGAAGACATCAAGGAAATTAAACGAGAGTTTCAACCAAAGCTGATTCCTTTCTGGCTGGTCAGTGGCACTCTATTAGGTAAGTTTTGTTTTCAATTAACCCATTAAAATTTAAAATTTTCCAAACATTTTTCTTGTTGAGACATTCAGATTGATAAATTCAATTATCTTTTACACTAAATTTCGTATAAAATAAACCGCACAAGGCGAGAAACTATAACTTCTGACGTGACCGCTTCTGGGTGATCCAGGATCAAATTTAGTAGATTAAGTTAATGTATAATAATATTATTATTAAATAATAAATTAAATTGATCTCTATTAATATATATATTTATTTATATTTTGTATTTTATTTAAAATATATTACAAAATTACTTTATTTAGGTTGGTATAGGCAATGCTCTCTCATCCCATATGTTTACGATATTGATTTCGCAGCGTGGATAAGAGATTTCGATACGTCCCTAATTGATCAGCTAACGAAAAGCTCAGTTCTTCATGCAGTCTATGGCACGGTAAATATCAACTAGGTCAATTATTTTTCAGATATCTCAGAAAATTAATTTTATACATTATAATTCAAATTAAGGCGTCAGCCTAATGCTCTAAGGCTGTGTTATTCTGCTTCATATCTTGCTGGAATCTCGTTGATTTATGTATGCAGAAAGGGTTTCCAAAGAACTATTGTTTCCGGGCGTCCAAAAGTTTGAAGCCATTGGTGAAGCTACCGTAGATGCGACTATGCAATTGCAAAGGGGTCTAAGTCGTTTGGGAGCCCATTTTGTCAAAATGGGGCAAAAGACTAGAAAATAAAGTATACAATCGTACATTAAAAAATATTGAAAATGAGTAATATCAGTATTCAGAAGGGCCCCGAAGAAGATAAGTTTACAGGAAGGTCTTTATTGTGGAGTTAGCACATGGACCCAAAATTTAAAGGTTTAGCTGCTGAGCAGTGCCTAAGGAACAATAGTTTAAAATAAATTCTTCCTGCTCTGTGAGCCCTAAAATGGTCTTTTTAATTATGAGATTTTGCTATATTTATGTGAATTTAATTTAGTATAAAAACTATAATTAATGTTTTAACTGTTATATTTTATAAATAAATTAAATTTATATATATAGTTTATAAACTATGTTACAATAAAATGTTATTAACACAACTTTTAAATAAACTTTAGATGTATTTACCGTAAAGTTTAATACATTTACTATTATTATTATTTAAAAAAAGCCAGAAAATTCATTTCAATTCGTCCTGATGAATAAACGTTTGAAAGTGAATTTATTTTTCACGTATGAAGAACAGAGTTATTTCTGGTATGGAAAACACACAATAGAAGATGGTTACAGTTTCAAGTAAGTATTTTATTTAATTTAAAATATATGCTCTCCACCTCAAATTAGTGTCTTGCCCCTGTAAATCATACTTTACCTGCTAGCAATAGAGTCGTGCAGGTAATCTATCTAACTCGTTTCAGGGGAAGATTTTTAATTGAAATAAGGTAACTCCTGGTTTGCACCAGAAGTTCGTATATAGTTAATCGGGTCCTCCTGTCCCTAAGCTTTCTAAATCTCGTCTCTACTTTCAGACAGATGGACAGTAGGAATTTAGAGGTGATTTGAAAAAATTGTAAATTTTAAAGACATCATATTTGGCCTTTCTTTACATTTTGACACAACCAGGAGCTTAAAAAAATAAAAGAAAATAAGAAAAATATACCCTTACAAAATTCTATCTGTAAAAGTAATACTGTATAAACATTATTTTGAAATAAAATCTTATAACAGTTGACGCTACACATATTTACAACTTTGTAAATTGAGTGCCATAAGAGCGCTTGCCAGCTTTTACTTTTCCGGGTTGATATAACATAAGAAAAAGTATTAGAATAATGTCAAATTTGATCCTCCGGGTGTTTTGTAAATATATACCTTTTGAGACCTTCCGAACCAAACAAGGAGAAAAAATTCCGCATGTGTGTTAGTGTCTATTTCGTTTAATATCTCAGGATGGGGTAAAGATTAAGTATAACGAAATTCGGCATGATAACTTGTATATAAGGGGTATTGATGCTATTAAATTTTGGTGTTTAAAGGTAGAGAGAGAGAAGAGATAGAAGTGGGTCATGTACCATAACGCGAGAGGAGTCGTACTTAATGAAGATTTCACTGTTGTTATTAACATTTACAATTTTTTTTTATAAAACACATCATTACTCTCAAAATTAAGCTTTTTGATATTTTATAATAATTAATAATATAAAAAGATTTTTACAACAAAATCTCACAAGAGATGGCACCTCACACTAATTTCGTTTATTGTGATTAATAATACAAAAGCTATTTTTTAAATAAAATTTTATAAAAGCCAGGAAAGTTCCACATTTGTTGCTAGATTTTTTATTTTACTTTTGGGTCCAGGGTATCTGAAAACGTCGATAATTGCAAAACACCTACAGGGTCAAATTTGATACGATTCCAATATTCTCCAGTATTATATAAATATCAGCCGGGAAGATAAAAGTAAATACATTGCATGGATGTTTGTGTGTTGGCCTTTATTTCGTTTAATATCTCAGGATTTTGTGAAGTGTCACAAATGCTTATTTCTTATTCAGGACGGGTTGCTCTCTGCCTTCCGTTAGTGTTTATACAAATAAGATTAACAAGGAAAAAAATATTTAAATAAGTTTAAAATAAAGTGCTTATTTGTAAATACATATAACTCAATAAAACATTGCAATATTTGAAATATATTTTTATCATTTATGATTTTCGAAATTCTGATTTCAGGTACGTTTACCCAAAATTCACATTATGCTCGGCAGAATTAGTATACGAGAAGGTTCTTGTTCCTTGTAATACCGAATTAATCGTGGCTACAGAGTATGGAAAAAATTGGATGATTCCTGAACCTAAAGGGCATTCCCCTTTAAACATAAAGGATAAGAAATTTTGGACTGTCGAACAACGAATTAATGCATTTCTTCCGAAACTTGAACATTAGATTAATGATTTTTTTTTTAACAATTTTAATTTATACAAATACCGATATATCGATAGATATTTTATAAATGTATTCAAATTATTTATTTATTTTTAGGAAATCCTGTAGAATTTAAATAGAGATAACTAACAATATAAGAACATGTAAAATGGACGAGATCTTTGTAATGCTATTAATGTAAAATAAATAGTCTATATTAAGAAAACTTTACTTAATATTGCATGCAATTGTATGTAATCGAAAAATATATTTACTTAGCTGTAAACTAAGACATAATTCCAAAATTATGTATCCCCTGACGCGATAACTCAACGAAATCTCGCTCGACTTTTATTAAATTTGGCATATTAGTACAATAAGATGAAAAGAATCGCTGATTAAATTTTTAGGAAAATCCGTCGAAAATTTGCTTAATTATCGCAACTAAATTTGCATTTACGCAAAGAGATAGCGACACGGTGCTGTACTAGATTCAAGGTCTATATAAGAAGGTCAGGACACGCACGATCTATTTCTGGATCCGCCATTTTGGGTTTTTTTGAGTCGTATATTTTAAACAAACTTATACGAGCAGTCAGTTTTATACGACATTATTTAAACTAAAATTAAATAAATTCAGTGATTTCCAGTCAAAAATATAATAATAATTTCGGTTAATTATGCAAACCCAATTTTATATAACGCTTTGATTTAGTTTAAAAGAAACGATTATCCATGTTTGACATAACAAAATAAAAGTGCGTTTAAAATTGTTTTAAATGTAAATGAAACATTTACCTGCAGTTCTAATCTCCTGTTTTCTAACTAAAGTTGTTTTTTTTTTATTTAATTTATCTAAAGTATTATTATCACTTTGTTCAATTCTTCCTTAACAGAAGCTACTCAGACCTGTCTAGAGCCCATTCTCGTAGACATATTTTGATGAAACTCGGTATATATGTTATATGGACCATGAGGAAAAGGAAAATGCAAAAAAATATTTAGTTCGAATTTTTACCACTAGGTGAAAAAATGGCGCAAGAATAACAAGAAACACAAAATGGAAATACACAAAAGGTTTTTATTCACAACATTTCTTCAATGTGCAATCCACTTACATCAATTACATGTTCAAAATGCCTTACAATGCTTTCCCATGGTCCATATAACATATATACTAAGTTTCATCAAAATACGTCCACGAGAACGGGCTCTAGACATGTTGTCTGAGTAGCGCAACTTTAATTATAACCACCCTGTGTATATATATATAAATTATAAGTCAAACCATATTAAAATAATTATTTTTTCGTACTATATAGCATTTGTCGCAAAAACAGATAGCATTGAACACACAAGATTTTTAATAACAGCCAATTTATAAAACACCGAGAATACTTAAACGAAACAGTAATCTTTATTTCAGATGAAAAAATAACTAGTTCAGCAATTATATAATCTTACTATTGGTTGCTATTTCTTCAAAAAGTTTTCTTTCCCCAATAGGCTTCCTTTTTGCTCGTAATAGATTTAGGAGGATTGGGCACATTGAAAATTGTGGGAATAGCATTCCATTTTAGCAGTTTCCTTCCATCAGTTCAAATTGAGATTCTTCGAAATGAAACTGAACAACAAATACTTTAATGTAAGATCACTTATACATCTCAAAGACAGTACAGACCTATAGAAAAATACATGATATGCAGTAACCCGACACAGTTTAGAATGTTCATATGGCTTCCTCCACTTTGCTTTCCTCTGTCTAATCTGCAGGAAATTTAAATAATCGAACATCTGTAGATTTACTCTTACAATTTGGTGCCATACAATAACCCAATTCTTTAACGTTCTGAGTACTTATATACATAATATAGTCGACTCACGTGTGGAGTGAACTTTATCGATCACTCCCAAAATGGCCGCTGCTGCAAAGAATCACGGAATCGTGTCCTGACTCTCTTATGTAGACCTTAGCTAGATTCATAAATATTCGCGCATTTAAAATACGGTGGTGTCTCGTACTTCGAATTCCATGAGGCCGTTCAAACTCCGAATCTTTCGTAGTCCGAATCAATTTTTCCCATTAGAAATAATGAAAAGTAAATTAAGCCGTTCCCATATCAAAAACAATAATCATCTCGATGAACTTAAACAACAAATATACGTAATTTAAAGTAAAAATAACGGAATTAAATGCTGTAAATAATAAATTAAAACACGAAAACAATAAATAAAATACATAAATACTGTACTGTACAATTTGGTATGGTTTTAAAAAGTCTTCTCTGCAATCAAAATGGAACCTTTTGCTTTTTTTTATTATAATTAATAACGAGGTTGCGGCCGAAGTTTTCATCTCTCAAACGTAAACGTCGAACGTCGAGCGCCGCTTACAAGATGGCGGCCGATCCGCGTATAAAGTCAGAATGACAGAGTAGTTCCTGGTGTAAGTGGGTGTGATTGGCACAGAGAGAAAATCTACAGTTACATAAATGACGTCCCGATTTATTATTATGATTAAAATATAAAATATTTCATGTCATTAAATAACCATGGACTTTTTTGTAAGTCATTTTTTAATTGTAAATCGAGGCGGATCATGTAACTCGTTGATACTTCTTTAAGATAATAAACATTCCTCCTTCTATGCATCACTATGCAACACCCATAAATACATTTATTTACACACTAAAAAGCAATATAAAGATAAATTTAAATAGTATTTAATAAAGACTGAGAAGAATAATGACAGAGAAAAGATTATGTCCTTGTATTTTTATTCCAGAAATTGAATAAGATAACGCTTTCTTTACATGAAATAATTAAGTTATCAGAAAACTTTTTTATACAATATTTTTAGCATAATATTATGCTTAAAAATTNACTCGTTTTTTTCAGTGTTCGTGTAAGTTCCTCTCTGAGTTTGCCACCGATGGGCTATGTTATCTATTGCCATCCTATTCATTATCATATAGTTTGATTCCTTTTTCCCAATAGTGGCGGGAACGTAATATAAATATTTCATTCGATTAACGGAGAAAAAGTCCTCCGTTTCTTTTCTGTAGGTGTGCCAATCAAAATGAAAACTTTTCTTTGAGTTGGGAGCCATATTATTATTATTATTATTATCCGTAGTTTTGTTTATATAATAAATATCACTCTTCTGAAAGCTTTGGGCTTGGTCTAAATTGATATTTGCCGGATCAGAACACAACTTTCCTTCTGAATAAGAGCGGCGAATTAAATTTTCGCCCAAAGATTGAAGATTTGATAAATGGACGGGACTCGAAAATGGCCTTTCTTCATCTAAACAACAGCAGGAACAACCTCTAAAACGAGTATTCATAATAGTGAAACTGTAGGAAAACTGCTAGCAATAAACTAATATCGAAAATTAAATAAATCTGCGATTATTGCGTGTATTGTAAAACAATTAAAATAATTATTTGAATTTTTAATTATTAAACATTAATAAAAATGAATCGGTTAATAAATTTTTACATTTAATTGGTCGAAAGTAAATTCCGTATCATCTTCAGCTTGATTTGACTAATCACCTTAAACAATACAAGATAACACTTAGTTATACTGGGTGATCGTAATTAAATTATCCTTAATTATAAACATATTTAGCAATCTAAATGCAATTTAATCTGGTATAGTGACATTTCAGGACACGAGGAAGACATTTCTATAAAAAAATAAAGGATCAAAAAGCTCCATTATGGTACTTTTGGTACCATAGACAAGCCTAAATATTTTATTTGTACGAGACTCTCATGCTAAACAAACACCTTAGTGATGCAGGTATAAGAGCTAATTTAAGAAATTTTGGGGGCTTCNCGCCCAAAGATGGAAGATTTGATAAATGGACGGGACTCGAAAATGGCCTTTCTTCATCTAAACAACAGCAGGAACAACCTCTAAAACGAGTATTCATAATAGTGAAACTGTAGGAAAACTGCTAGCAATAAACTAATATCGAAAATTAAATAAATCTGCGATTATTGCGTGTATTGTAAAACAATTAAAATAATTATTTGAATATTTAATTATTAAACATTAATAAAAATGAATCGGTTAATAAATTTTTACATTTAATTGGTCGAAAGTAAATTCCGTATCATCTTCAGCTTGATTTGACTAATCACCTTAAACAATACAAGATAACACTTAGTTATACTGGGTGATCGTAATTAAATTATCCTTAATTATAAACATATTTAGCAATCTAAATGCAATTTAATCTGGTATAGTGACATTTCAGGACACGAGGAAGACATTTCTATAAAAAAATAAAGGATCAAAAAGCTCTATTATGGTACTTTTGGTACCATAGACAAGCCTAAATATTTTATTTGTACGAGACTCTCATGCTAAACAAACACCTTAGTGATGCAGGTATAAGAGCTAATTTAAGAAATTTTGGGGGCTTCTTGCGAAGTCTTCTACATTTACAAAGGAAAATAAATGGTACTTTGTGTGTTAATTAAACTAATTCGTAGTAAAACAATATACAGGAACCACAGTAAGAACTATGAGAGTTATGTGGAGCGGGTCCATCTCAACTGTCGTTGTTGCTATAGTTTTACACCGGATCCAGATATTTGCTCAATATGGTCCTCATATTGAGCAAATATCTGGCATCATATTGAGCAAATATTGAGCAAATAATAAACGGCGTGTTCATAATTTGACTGTAATTAATGACTCTTCACATACAGTGTGATTCTGCCATTCAAGGCAGCCAAATTTGCAGTATGTTCGCGATAAACCACACTTTTTTATTTAACTTAATAATGGTATCTCTAAAAATAGTCTTGATTCATATGATTCTCTTCAGCCACTAAACACTTTTCCCCTTCCTTTCCTATGTAAGAACTTTCAAGTGTTTCGATTCTTTCATTTGTGTAAGTTTTGCACTGTTTTAATTATTATTAAAAATTTCGTTATATTTTATACGAATAAGTAATTTTAGTAGTTATTACTTTATATTCACTCATAATAAATTTCTATTAGCTTTCAGATTGAGCCGTTTGAGGATAATGGAATCCATTATTTCGCTCCTAAAAATAAGATTTATTTTCTGTTTGAACTTATGACCTCTCGTTTTCTGGATTGTAACTTCGAATCTACCAAAAATTTTATGATTAGATACCGCAATATTAGCGTTCCCGATATCCAATTTGGACTCGAGTTTATCGAAGACATCAAGGAAATTAAACGAGAGTTTCAACCAAAGCTGATTCCTTTCTGGCTGGTCAGTGGCACTCTATTAGGTAAGTTTTGTTTTCAATTAACCCATTAAAATTTAAAATTTTCCAAACATTTTTCTTGTTGAGACATTCAGATTGATAAATTCAATTATCTTTTACACTAAATTTCGTATAAAATAAACCGCACAAGGCGAGAAACTATAACTTCTGACGTGACCGCTTCTGGGTGATCCAGGATCAAATTTAGTAGATTAAGTTAATGTATAATAATATTATTATTAAATAATAAATTAAATTGATCTCTATTAATATATATATTTATTTATATTTTGTATTTTATTTAAAATATATTACAAAATTACTTTATTTAGGTTGGTATAGGCAATGCTCTCTCATCCCATATGTTTACGATATTGATTTCGCAGCGTGGATAAGAGATTTCGATACGTCCCTAATTGATCAGCTAACGAAAAGCTCAGTTCTTCATGCAGTCTATGGCACGGTAAATATCAACTAGGTCAATTATTTTTCAGATATCTCAGAAAATTAATTTTATACATTATAATTCAAATTAAGGCGTCAGCCTAATGCTCTAAGGCTGTGTTATTCTGCTTCATATCTTGCTGGAATCTCGTTGATTTATGTATGCAGAAAGGGTTTCCAAAGAACTATTGTTTCCGGGCGTCCAAAAGTTTGAAGCCATTGGTGAAGCTACCGTAGATGCGACTATGCAATTGCAAAGGGGTCTAAGTCGTTTGGGAGCCCATTTTGTCAAAATGGGGCAAAAGACTAGAAAATAAAGTATACAATCGTACATTAAAAAATATTGAAAATGAGTAATATCAGTATTCAGAAGGGCCCCGAAGAAGATAAGTTTACAGGAAGGTCTTTATTGTGGAGTTAGCACATGGACCCAAAATTTAAAGGTTTAGCTGCTGAGCAGTGCCTAAGGAACAATAGTTTAAAATAAATTCTTCCTGCTCTGTGAGCCCTAAAATGGTCTTTTTAATTATGAGATTTTGCTATATTTATGTGAATTTAATTTAGTATAAAAACTATAATTAATGTTTTAACTGTTATATTTTATAAATAAATTAAATTTATATATATAGTTTATAAACTATGTTACAATAAAATGTTATTAACACAACTTTTAAATAAACTTTAGATGTATTTACCGTAAAGTTTAATACATTTACTATTATTATTATTTAAAAAAAGCCAGAAAATTCATTTCAATTCGTCCTGATGAATAAACGTTTGAAAGTGAATTTATTTTTCACGTATGAAGAACAGAGTTATTTCTGGTATGGAAAACACACAATAGAAGATGGTTACAGTTTCAAGTAAGTATTTTATTTAATTTAAAATATATGCTCTCCACCTCAAATTAGTGTCTTGCCCCTGTAAATCATACTTTACCTGCTAGCAATAGAGTCGTGCAGGTAATCTATCTAACTCGTTTCAGGGGAAGATTTTTAATTGAAATAAGGTAACTCCTGGTTTGCACCAGAAGTTCGTATATAGTTAATCGGGTCCTCCTGTCCCTAAGCTTTCTAAATCTCGTCTCTACTTTCAGACAGATGGACAGTAGGAATTTAGAGGTGATTTGAAAAAATTGTAAATTTTAAAGACATCATATTTGGCCTTTCTTTACATTTTGACACCACCAGGAGCTTAAAAAAATAAAAGAAAATAAGAAAAACATACCCTTACAAAATTCTATCTGTAAAAGTAATACTGTATAAACATTATTTTGAAATAAAATCTTATAACAGTTGACGCTACACATATTTACAACTTTGTAAATTGAGTGCCATAAGAGCGCTTGCCAGCTTTTACTTTTCCGGGTTGATATAACATAAGAAAAAGTATTAGAATAATGTCAAATTTGATCCTCCGGGTGTTTTGTAAATATATACCTTTTGAGACCTTCCGAACCAAACAAGGAGAAAAAATTCCGCATGTGTGTTAGTGTCTATTTCGTTTAATATCTCAGGATGGGGTAAAGATTAAGTATAACGAAATTCGGCATGATAACTTGTATATAAGGGGTATTGATGCTATTAAATTTTGGTGTTTAAAGGTAGAGAGAGAGAAGAGATAGAAGTGGGTCATGTACCATAACGTGAGAGGAGTCGTACTTAATGAAGATTTCACTGTTGTTATTAACATTTACAATTTTTTTATAAAACACATCATTACTCTCAAAATTAAGCTTTTTGATATTTTATAATAATTAATAATATAAAAAGATTTTTACAACAAAATCTCACAAGAGATGGCACCTCACACTAATTTCGTTTATTGTGATTAATAATACAAAAGCTATTTTTTAAATAAAATTTTATAAAAGCCAGGAAAGTTACACATTTGTTGCTAGATTTTTTATTTTACTTTTGGGTCCAGGGTATCTGAAAACGTCGATAATTGCAAAACACCTACAGGGTCAAATTTGATACGATTCCAATATTCTCCAGTATTATATAAATATCAGCCGGGAAGATAAAAGTAAATACATTGCATGGATGTTTGTGTGTTGGCCTTTATTTCGTTTAATATCTCAGGATTTTGTGAAGTGTCACAAATGCTTATTTCTTATTCAGGACGGGTTGCTCTCTGCCTTCCGTTAGTGTTTATACAAATAAGATTAACAAGGAAAAAAATATTTAAATAAGTTTAAAATAAAGTGCTTATTTGTAAATACATATAACTCAATAAAACATTGCAATATTTGAAATATATTTTTATCATTTATGATTTTCGAAATTCTGATTTCAGGTACGTTTACCCAAAATTCACATTATGCTCGGCAGAATTAGTATACGAGAAGGTTCTTGTTCCTTGTAATACCGAATTAATCGTGGCTACAGAGTATGGAAAAAATTGGATGATTCCTGAACCTAAAGGGCATTCCCCTTTAAACATAAAGGATAAGAAATTTTGGACTGTCGAACAACGAATTAATGCATTTCTTCCGAAACTTGAACATTAGATTAATGATTTTTTTTTTAACAATTTTAATTTATACAAATACCGATATATCGATAGATATTTTATAAATGTATTCAAATTATTTATTTATTTTTAGGAAATCCTGTAGAATTTAAATAGAGATAACTAACAATATAAGAACATGTAAAATGGACGAGATCTTTGTAATGCTATTAATGTAAAATAAATAGTCTATATTAAGAAAACTTTACTTAATATTGCATGCAATTGTATGTAATCGAAAAATATATTTACTTAGCTGTAAACTAAGACATAATTCCAAAATTATGTATCCCCTGACGCGATAACTCAACGAAATCTCGCTCGACTTTTATTAAATTTGGCATATTAGTACAATAAGATGAAAAGAATCGCTGATTAAATTTTTAGGAAAATCCGTCGAAAATTTGCTTAATTATCGCAACTAAATTTGCATTTACGCAAAGAGATAGCGACACGGTGCTGTACTAGATTCAAGGTCTATATAAGAAGGTCAGGACACGCACGATCTATTTCTGGATCCGCCATTTTGGGTTTTTTTGAGTCGTATATTTTAAACAAACTTATACGAGCAGTCAGTTTTATACGACATTATTTAAACTAAAATTAAATAAATTCAGTGATTTCCAGTCAAAAATATAATAATAATTTCGGTTAATTATGCAAACCCAATTTTATATAACGCTTTGATTTAGTTTAAAAGAAACGATTATCCATGTTTGACATAACAAAATAAAAGTGCGTTTAAAATTGTTTTAAATGTAAATGAAACATTTACCTGCAGTTCTAATCTCCTGTTTTCTAACTAAAGTTGTTTTTTTTTTATTTAATTTATCTAAAGTATTATTATCACTTTGTTCAATTCTTCCTTAACAGAAGCTACTCAGACCTGTCTAGAGCCCATTCTCGTAGACATATTTTGATGAAACTCGGTATATATGTTATATGGACCATGAGGAAAAGGAAAATGCAAAAAAATATTTAGTTCGAATTTTTACCACTAGGTGAAAAAATGGCGCAAGAATAACAAGAAACACAAAATGGAAATACACAAAAGGTTTTTATTCACAACATTTCTTCAATGTGCAATCCACTTACATCAATTACATGTTCAAAATGCCTTACAATGCTTTCCCATGGTCCATATAACATATATACTAAGTTTCATCAAAATACGTCCACGAGAACGGGCTCTAGACATGTTGTCTGAGTAGCGCAACTTTAATTATAACCACCCTGTGTATATATATATAAATTATAAGTCAAACCATATTAAAATAATTATTTTTTCGTACTATATAGCATTTGTCGCAAAAACAGATAGCATTGAACACACAAGATTTTTAATAACAGCCAATTTATAAAACACCGAGAATACTTAAACGAAACAGTAATCTTTATTTCAGATGAAAAAATAACTAGTTCAGCAATTATATAATCTTACTATTGGTTGCTATTTCTTCAAAAAGTTTTCTTTCCCCAATAGGCTTCCTTTTTGCTCGTAATAGATTTAGGAGGATTGGGCACATTGAAAATTGTGGGAATAGCATTCCATTTTAGCAGTTTCCTTCCATCAGTTCAAATTGAGATTCTTCGAAATGAAACTGAACAACAAATACTTTAATGTAAGATCACTTATACATCTCAAAGACAGTACAGACCTATAGAAAAATACATGATATGCAGTAACCCGACACAGTTTAGAATGTTCATATGGCTTCCTCCACTTTGCTTTCCTCTGTCTAATCTGCAGGAAATTTAAATAATCGAACATCTGTAGATTTACTCTTACAATTTGGTGCCATACAATAACCCAATTCTTTAACGTTCTGAGTACTTATATACATAATATAGTCGACTCACGTGTGGAGTGAACTTTATCGATCACTCCCAAAATGGCCGCTGCTGCAAAGAATCACGGAATCGTGTCCTGACTCTCTTATGTAGACCTTAGCTAGATTCATAAATATTCGCGCATTTAAAATACGGTGGTGTCTCGTACTTCGAATTCCATGAGGCCGTTCAAACTCCGAATCTTTCGTAGTCCGAATCAATTTTTCCCATTAGAAATAATGAAAAGTAAATTAAGCCGTTCCCATATCAAAAACAATAATCATCTCGATGAACTTAAACAACAAATACACGTAATTTAAAGTAAAAATAACGGAATTAAATGCTGTAAATAATAAATTAAAACACGAAAACAATAAATAAAATACATAAATACTGTACTGTACAATTTGGTATGGTTTTAAAAAGTCTTCTCTGCAATCAAAATGGAACCTTTTGCTTTTTTTTATTATAATTAATAACGAGGTTGCGGCCGAAGTTTTCATCTCTCAAACGTAAACGTCGAACGTCGAGCGCCGCTTACAAGATGGCGGCCGATCCGCGTATAAAGTCAGAATGACAGAGTAGTTCCTGGTGTAAGTGGGTGTGATTGGCACAGAGAGAAAATCTACAGTTACATAAATGACGTCCCGATTTATTATTATGATTAAAATATAAAATATTTCATGTCATTAAATAACCATGGACTTTTTTGTAAGTCATTTTTTAATTGTAAATCGAGGCGGATCATGTAACTCGTTGATACTTCTTTAAGATAATAAACATTCCTCCTTCTATGCATCACTATGCAACACCCATAAATACATTTATTTACACACTAAAAAGCAATATAAAGATAAATTTAAATAGTATTTAATAAAGACTGAGAAGAATAATGACAGAGAAAAGATTATGTCCTTGTATTTTTATTCCAGAAATTGAATAAGATAACGCTTTCTTTACATGAAATAATTAAGTTATCAGAAAACTTTTTTATACAATATTTTTAGCATAATATTATGCTTAAAAATTTCAATTAATTTTTTATTTTAAACGTTCTACAGTTTTCGGATTAACATTACAATTACAATTACTGTAATCGAATTTTTATATTTAAAAAGTCATTTAAAAATATGCATAAAATTAAAATTTTAATTTTATGTATTAAATTTATTATATTAATTTCTATATTAATTAATGAGGATATTTTTCCTTGGGTAATATTCTAGGTTTGCAAGCGGCATTTCTAGTCATTTCATATATCCAATCGATATATCTCGATACATCCGTATAAACACCAGACACGCCCGGTAATGCACAGTTTTTCCCAAACGAGACAATTCCGCTAGCAACATAGTAATTTTCAGTTCGAACCAGAAGCGATCCTCCAGAATCTCCCTTTAATTTAAATAATTCAATTATAAATTTCATTTTAATTTGGATTTTTTTTTTTACTATTTATAAAACTAGACCCGGAATTTAAATTTAATTCGAAAATGTAAAGATATATTACTCACAAGGCAAGCATCTTTTCCTTCTTCTCCTCCAGCACAAATCATGTTAGAAGTGATTACATGTGATAAGTGACGTTGACATTCTTCTCTCGATGTAATGGGAACGTCCACTTGCTGCAATATGTTAGGTCTTTGACCATCTGCAATATACGGGGAAAAAATGTAATTTGTGATAAATATTAGAGAAGTTGCGGCCGAAGTTTTCATCTGTAAAACGTGAACGTCGAACGTCGAGCGCCGCATACAAGATAGCGGCGCTCGACGTTCGACGTTCACGTTTTACAGATGAAAACTTCGGCCGCAACTTCTCTAATATTTATCACAAATTACATTTTTTCCCCGTATATTGCAGATGGTCAAAGACCTAACATATTGCAGCAAGTGGACGTTCCCATTACATCGAGAGAAGAATGTCAACGTCACTTATCACATGTAATCACTTCTAACATGATTTGTGCTGGAGGAGAAGAAGGAAAAGATGCTTGCCTTGTGAGTAATATATCTTTACATTTTCGAATTAAATTTAAATTCCGGGTCTAGTTTTATAAATAGTAAAAAAAAAAATCCAAATTAAAATGAAATTTATAATTGAATTATTTAAATTAAAGGGAGATTCTGGAGGATCGCTTCTGGTTCGAACTGAAAATTACTATGTTGCTAGCGGAATTGTCTCGTTTGGGAAAAACTGTGCATTACCGGGCGTGTCTGGTGTTTATACGGATGTATCGAGATATATCGATTGGATATATGAAATGACTAGAAATGCCGCTTGCAAACCTAGAATATTACCCAAGGAAAAATATCCTCATTAATTAATATAGAAATTAATATAATAAATTTAATACATAAAATTAAAATTTTAATTTTATGCATATTTTTAAATGACTTTTTAAATATAAAAATTCGATTACAGTAATTGTAATTGTAATGTTAATCCGAAAACTGTAGAACGTTTAAAATAAAAAATTAATTGAAATTTTTAAGCATAATATTATGCTAAAAATATTGTATAAAAAAGTTTTCTGATAACTTAATTATTTCATGTAAAGAAAGCGTTATCTTATTCAATTTCTGGAATAAAAATACAAGGACATAATCTTTTCTCTGTCATTATTCTTCTCAGTCTTTATTAAATACTATTTAAATTTATCTTTATATTGCTTTTTAGTGTGTAAATAAATGTATTTATGGGTGTTGCATAGTGATGCATAGAAGGAGGAATGTTTATTATCTTAAAGAAGTATCAACGAGTTACATGATCCGCCTCGATTTACAATTAAAAAATGACTTACAAAAAAGTCCATGGTTATTTAATGACATGAAATATTTTATATTTTAATCATAATAATAAATCGGGACGTCATTTATGTAACTGTAGATTTTCTCTCTGTGCCAATCACACCCACTTACACCAGGAACTACTCTGTCATTCTGACTTTATACGCGGATCGGCCGCCATCTTGTAAGCGGCGCTCGACGTTCGACGTTTACGTTTGAGAGATGAAAACTTCGGCCGCAACCTCGTTATTAATTATAATAAAAAAAAGCAAAAGGTTCCATTTTGATTGCAGAGAAGACTTTTTAAAACCATACCAAATTGTACAGTACAGTATTTATGTATTTTATTTATTGTTTTCGTGTTTTAATTTATTATTTACAGCATTTAATTCCGTTATTTTTACTTTAAATTACGTGTATTTGTTGTTTAAGTTCATCGAGATGATTATTGTTTTTGATATGGGAACGGCTTAATTTACTTTTCATTATTTCTAATGGGAAAAATTGATTCGGACTACGAAAGATTCGGAGTTTGAACGGCCTCATGGAATTCGAAGTACGAGACACCACCGTATTTTAAATGCGCGAATATTTATAAATCTAGCTAAGGTCTACATAAGAGAGTCAGGACACGATTCCGTGATTCTTTGCAGCAGCGGCCATTTTGGGAGTGATCGATAAAGTTCACTCCACACGTGAGTCGACTATATTATGTATATAAGTACTCAGAACGTTAAAGAATTGGGTTATTGTATGGCACCAAATTGTAAGAGTAAATCTACAGATGTTCGATTATTTAAATTTCCTGCAGATTAGACAGAGGAAAGCAAAGTGGAGGAAGCCATATGAACATTCTAAACTGTGTCGGGTTACTGCATATCATGTATTTTTCTATAGGTCTGTACTGTCTTTGAGATGTATAAGTGATCTTACATTAAAGTATTTGTTGTTCAGTTTCATTTCGAAGAATCTCAATTTGAACTGATGGAAGGAAACTGCTAAAATGGAATGCTATTCCCACAATTTTCAATGTGCCCAATCCTCCTAAATCTATTACGAGCAAAAAGGAAGCCTATTGGGGAAAGAAAACTTTTTGAAGAAATAGCAACCAATAGTAAGATTATATAATTGCTGAACTAGTTATTTTTTCATCTGAAATAAAGATTACTGTTTCGTTTAAGTATTCTCGGTGTTTTATAAATTGGCTGTTATTAAAAATCTTGTGTGTTCAATGCTATCTGTTTTTGCGACAAATGCTATATAGTACGAAAAAATAATTATTTTAATATGGTTTGACTTATAATTTATATATATATACACAGGGTGGTTATAATTAAAGTTGCGCTACTCAGACAACATGTCTAGAGCCCGTTCTCGTGGACGTATTTTGATGAAACTTAGTATATATGTTATATGGACCATGGGAAAGCATTGTAAGGCATTTTGAACATGTAATTGATGTAAGTGGATTGCACATTGAAGAAATGTTGTGAATAAAAACCTTTTGTGTATTTCCATTTTGTGTTTCTTGTTATTCTTGCGCCATTTTTTCACCTAGTGGTAAAAATTCGAACTAAATATTTTTTTGCATTTTCCTTTTCCTCATGGTCCATATAACATATATACCGAGTTTCATCAAAATATGTCTACGAGAATGGGCTCTAGACAGGTCTGAGTAGCTTCTGTTAAGGAAGAATTGAACAAAGTGATAATAATACTTTAGATAAATTAAATAAAAAAAAAAAACAACTTTAGTTAGAAAACAGGAGATTAGAACTGCAGGTAAATGTTTCATTTACATTTAAAACAATTTTAAACGCACTTTTATTTTGTTATGTCAAACATGGATAATCGTTTCTTTTAAACTAAATCAAA